TCAAAACCCGCAGAAAAAAAACGCTACCACTGAGCTTCCCACAAACCGCGTTCGTGTGTTGCTCCCAAGTCAATGAAGCATCAAGATAAACCCCCAAAAATCTTACACTACTCGGATTAACGTTAAACTGCCTTCGAAGTGTAAACGTTGATAAAACTGTTTTATCTTCATTCAGACTCAATTTATTCATTGCAAACCACAGCTCGGCATTAGTCTTCGATGAATTAGCTAAACTACAAGCAGTCTGGGAATTCTTGCTTTTACTGATTAAAGTGGTGTCGTCTGCATACATGATTACGGACGCACCGTGAATGCTGTTAGCTAGATCATTGACGTAAATTAAGAAAAGAAGAGGTCCCAGGATTGACCCCTGAGGAACCCCGATATTAACAATCATTTCCTTAGATAAGTTACCATGACAGTTTACAATTTGTGTTCTATTAGTTAAATAAGTTTTTATTAAAGCAACGCTTCCAGAATCTTTTTCTTTAGTAATACATCATCAGCCTTACTTAGGTCGCAAAAAATAGCTGTCATGTACTCCATCCTCAAAACATGTTAACACATTTTCAACAAAATCAATTATAGCGTGTGTAGTACTTTTTCCTAGTCTAAATCCAAATTGGGATGGAGTGAATAACTTATTTTCTTCAAAATACCTAGTTATTTGGATTTTCAATACTTTTTCAAAGATCTTAGATATAATAGGTAACAGTGAAATTGATCTGTAGTTTTCAATATTTTCAGGATTTCCCTTTTTATACACGGGAATGACTAAACCTGTCTTAAGAGCTGCTGGATACATGCCCTCCCGAATACATAAATTTATTAACTTAGTTAACGGAGATATAATTACATCCTTAATTCCCTTGACAAGAGTCATATCAAAGCCGTATATGTCTTTGGTTTTTTTCCCCTTGAAACTATTTAAAATGTCTCGCATTTCGTTGAAGCTGACTTCCTGAAAAGAAAATAGTGGCAGATAATATGCCATTTGGATCATTTGAATTCAGAAGATTTGGCAAAGAGTGGGATATAAATATAGTAACAACAAGTCCGCAACATGATCAAACGAATGGAATGTTCGAACGCGCTGTTCAAACGGCAAGAAATATTTTGAGAAAGAATGAAGATGTTAATAGTGCATTAATGCTGTATAGAAGTACGAAATTAAAAGATTTAAATTTAGCACCAGCAGAAATATTATTTGGGAGACAAATTCGTAGAAGATTACCAATTTGTGACAAATAATTAGATAATTAAGACAGAATTGGAGCCTGAAATAAGGTTTGACAATGATTTGGACATAAACTTGAATGTAAAGAATAAAGAGTAAGACTAGGGAGAGCAAGTAAATCAGCAAATACAACAAATAAAAACAAGAAGAGAAATAAGAAGACCAAGTAGATTTAAAGATTATATAATGTAAAAATAAAAATAAGAAAAAAGGGAGATGTTGTATACGGTGTTAGGTAGATAGTGTGAGTGGTAAGGTTAGTAAAGAAGACACCAATAAGATATAGTAAGATGCATGTAAGATGTAACCATCGCTAAATAAAGAGCTATAATAAAAATAGTGTTTAAATAACTAACATAAGACACTGTATACGAAAAGCATGGCAGAGATTCTTCTTAACTTACGAAAAGAAATAATAATAAGCGTTTTATTGTTTATAATTTTTTGTCACAATTTCTCCCAGAATCTTCCTGTCCATCAGCTCATCCAGTAGCTCCCAATCCTCTCCACACAGCTTACACCACCTCTCCACATCGTCTGCCCAGTATCTGTTCCCTCTCTCCTCATTGCCACAGCGGAATCTAGCCACCAATCCCTTCATCATCACCCTTCATCAACCGATATTATATCTCCCTGCCCGTGTCAGTGGCCTTCTTGGCCCTATTTCTCAGTTCTCCCCAAATTTCACCTCTCTCCAAACTTTTGTTGCCGATCCCAGTGAATATCCCACTCTCTTAAAATATCCTTCCCTATCTCCATCTCCATATATCAGCACCCTCTCCTTAATTTCCCTACAGCACTCTCTCAGGATCCTGCATACGGTCTTCTTTCTATCATTTCCTCGTACTTCACTGCTCTTCTCCACCCTTACTGCATCCATCTTAATCTCCTCCCTCACTATATACCCTGGAGTCTCCCTTGCCAACCCGAGTACCCATCTCCAATACCTTGTTTGTATATCCTCCAGCAATCCTTGTTCTCTCCATCTCCATACTTCTGCGCCGTACATCATTGTGCACCTCACCAAGCCTTCAAACATAACCTTTCTACGAAAAGAAATAATTTGTACGTCAAGTGATGGTACCGATGAAGCATCCCTTGCATATTTACAAATATACTAAGAATTAAATAAAATTTGTATTGCTCTTTAAAATAGAATTCTTTTTATTTATTTCAAAAAAAACATCTTCAGAAGGACAATACTGTTACAGAAATATACAAATTAAAATATAACGTCTAAACGGAATGAATCTGATTAATATTGATTTGCAGGTAAATTACAGATTCATTCCGTTTAGACGTTATATTTTAATTTGTATATTTCTGTAACAGTATTGTCCTTCTGAAGATGGTTTAATATAAACCGAAACCGGTAAAGGAAATAAACAAAAAGAATTCCATTTTAAAGTGCAATAAAAATTTTATTTAATCATCAATAATGGAAAGAAAGATTAACAATTTCAACATATACTAAGAATGTTCAGAACATAACAAATTGCAGATTTCTCATAAAAATTAATGAAATAATTTAAATAAAATCGCAATTATTCAAATTAGTATTATTTCCAGGTATCACTTTCTCGATAAGAACTGTTCATTCTCAGAATCGAGGAAAAATCCCAAAGACACAGCAACCAATATGACAACCAAGAAATATGGACTTTCAAACCAACGATTTTACATTACATCATGCTAATTGCAATTAACAATCCAAATTAATAATATATTAAGTAAAAGTAATGAAGTGGACATTAATCTTGACACTTTTCTTTTAATCTTTGAATCAAAACAGATTTTAATTTTGTTTTGATGATTATTCTGTTAATTATTCTAATTGATACTCTACAACTAAATCAACTAAATTCCCGTTTATTCTAAGAATAGAAGAAAATTCCCCACGATGAATACCAAATAAGCAACGAAAACTTGAATTGGCCTTAAAGACCCGAGGACTTTTCGATTACGTCATTTAAAATTACCATGTATAAAGTGTACAAATAATTGTTGATGATGATAACAAATCTTTACGTATACTTCAAATAATAAAAAGAGACAGTTAAAACGAAAACTTGCTAAAGGCCAAAAATCGTGTCTTTATTTCTTTAGCCAATCAAATGAAATCCACGACGAAAAACAACGACCGGTGCCGAGACTGATTTATTCAAACCTCCTCTTTCAACTTCGAAACAGCGAAGAACTTTATCAGTCGTCGTCAGTTCGTTTTTGAACGACGTTAAAACTCGTACTCGTTCTCACCGACTAATTAAAAAAAAACTATAATTTATTCGTAAAGTTCATAAAAGAAAAATTAAAACTTAATTCTCAGGAGAAGAAAGAAAATCTTCAAATTCAAGGTTAGTTGGACTTCATTTACAAGATTAATTAGATTTTAAATAGTGTGTGAATGTATTTTTAATTTTCTTAATTGTTGGTATTAATATTTATGATTATCTTTCGAAGAAGAGATTAAAAAATATAAGTTGATGAACCTTCGAAAATTAAGGAGGTGATTATGTAACGACAAATGATTTTGATTCGTTAATGTGAAAACTTGTAGGTTAGTTTGATACTATTGGTTATGCTATTACCTTTTATTATGTTAACAGTATTTAGTCTTCTGGCATCAATAATTAGTTTTGTATTAGCAGTAACTAATTTCTGCAAGCAGTAGCCTTTCGTGAGCAGCAATTAGACTTGTTTTGGTAGTACCTCGTCTTGTGCCAGCAATATCATAACTATCATGTTATAATTTGAGTTGAATCTGCAACTAAGTTTAATTTTAGAAAACATGAAGACTCTACTCATTTTAACCGTATTGTTAACAATATTCGGGTCAACTTTTCAACAACAAGGAAAAAGCGTCGAAGACTTAATCAAAGAAATCTTTATCGATGGCATGCTCGACACTAAAAACCCAGCAGTTACGCCAAGAAATCCCGATGCAGGATGCGTATGCGTACCTTATTATTTATGCAAAAACGATTCCACTATCAATACCGATGGAGTTGGTATCATTGATATTAGGTAAGCAAAAAATGTTTCACTCTCATCATAATTTACTTTTTTTAATTCTCCATTATAGAATCGATGAAAACCAAGGAGAATGTTCAAGTTATCTCCAATTTTGTTGCATCCCTCCAAACGTAGTTGATAAACCGATCGTGCCAAAGCCCGATCCTTTACTACCCGTTCAATCTGGATGCGGGTACCGCCACGAAGACGGAGTTGGTTTCCGGATAACCGGTGATGAAGATTCCGAAGCGAAATTCGGTGAATTCCCATGGATGGTTGCAATTCTTCGCGAAGAACGAATGGATGGTCAAGATGAAACCTTAAACGTTTATCAATGCGGAGGTACCTTAATCCACCCTAAAGTTGTTATAACCGCGGCTCATTGCGTGAGTGATCGTCAAAAAACGTTTAAAGTCCGCGCGGGAGAATGGGACACTCAAACTAAAAATGAAATTTACGCCCATCAAGATCGCGCGGTGAAATCTTGGACGATTCACCCCGAATATTACGCTGGAGCTCTTTTTAACGACATCGCCGTCTTAATTTTAGAAGAACCTTTCATAATAGCTGATAACGTCGATGTTGCGTGTCTTCCCAAACAATCTGAAGTAATTCCCGAAGGGACCAGGTGTTTCGCTAGTGGGTGGGGCAAAGACGTCTTTGGAAAAGAAGGAAAATATCAAGTGATTTTGAAAAAAATCGAATTACCAATTGTCGAAAGGAATAAGTGCGAAACTAGCTTAAGAACGACTCGTTTGGGGGCGTTCTTCAAATTACACAATAGTTTTATTTGTGCTGGGGGTGAAGCAGGAAAAGATACTTGCAAAGGGGATGGAGGAAGTCCGTTGGTTTGTCCAATTCCGGGATTAAAAGGAAGGTATCAACACGCAGGTATTGTTGCTTGGGGAATTGGATGTGGGGAAAATAACGTTCCGGGAGTTTACGCAAACGTTGGATTATTTAGGGATTGGATCGATGCGGAAGTGAAGAAACACGGCATTGATCCCGCTAGTTATACTTATTAAAAAACAAAATTGGAAAAAATTATATATAAACAAAATAATGTTTTAAAGACCAAGATGTAATTTTCATATTTTATAAAAAAAAAACAAAATAAAACTCACATATGAGATATTTCTAATAAATTTGTGTTGTTCTATTTTAACCAGATTCCTTTTTGGGTGTCGATAACTCATTAATTATTAAAGAATTCTTTTAAAAGATGAAACCTTGGATGTTAAACTGGTTTTATATAAAAAACATCTTAATTTAATAAAAAAGAAATTCTGAATGATTTTTTTAATGGTAAAACCTTGAATGTTAAAGTGGTTTTGATTCTTTTCATGCATCAAGTGTTTACATAAACTAAAAGGTTAAAGTTGGTGAGTTATTAATTACTTAATACATAAAGACTTTGCCCTCACGACAAAGTAGAGGTTCTTCAACTGCTAGACAATGAACACCACGTCCGAAGACAGAGAAGAAAACCACGTGATACATTTCCTACTATCTTTACTGATTAATATTGCCTATTAATATTGTTTTTTTCTCATTGCCCTCAATGTCTCTGTGACCTAGAACTCACCATAGAATAACGTCATTGCCCCTAGTGAGTTCTCTCAGGTTGCTGGTACACTTTAAATTGCCTTTAGGACGGCCCGACTGTCTGTGAAAATGTTTATAGATGCACCTTTCTCTCCCTTTTGTAGGTTCAAAGCGGTGTAAAAGTTTATAGCAAGTACTTCTGCTTGACAAATGGTTATGTTCGAGCTGAGGGGTAATTTAATGCGGCCCATACCTACTACGGATCCAACTTTCTTTGAAGCAACCATGTACCAGGCAAGGACTCCTCTTTTTAGTTAAGGTCCAATCATCCCTGCTTCTAAATATTCTAATACGGACAAAATAATAAAAAGTTTGAATAAAACTTTATTTCAAATTCGAATATTACGAGAAACATTAAGCTGCGAGATATTAAAAATGATATATTATGCCGAAATACAGGGTGATTCGGGAGGAAATGGAAAGATTTTAAGGACATGTCTAGGAAGCTAAAATAAGCAAAATAAGCTCATATGTTCAAATCCGATTTTCATTTGTTTCCGAGATAATTAGGTTTTTCTTTTTAAAAAGTTAATCAAGTTATGTTTGACAACGTTATCCTATATGACAATTTGAAACAAAATGTTAATTAAAGTGATAGTTGTAATTGTTACGAAATAATAAAAATGCCTCACATTTTCAGTCATAGAGAATATGCAGATATGGTGTTTGTTTATGGTTTTTGTAATGGTAATACTATTCGTTCAGTAGAAGAGTATCGACGTCGTTTTCCGAATCGAAGAATTCCTAATAGGCTAGTGTTTCAAACTGTTTTTACACGTGCTGGCGAAAGTGGAATGTTCCCAAGTGCAAGCATAGTTTCTGAAAAACAGCAAGGGCTCAGTTTGGAACATGAAGAAAATATTCTGGATGTTGTAGAAAATAATCCAGGGATAAGTACAAGCATGGCAATACAATTTGAAATTCCACAAACAATGGTTTGGAAAACATTAAAGCGGCAAGGCTTAAACGCTTTTCATTTGCAGAAAGCACAAAATCTCTAAGAAGGCGATTATCCATTAAGACTACAATTTTGTCAATGGATTCGTGAAAAGAGAAGATTACTTAAATGCATATTATTTTCTGATGAAGCTCAATTTACTCGAGATGGAATTAACAATTACCATAATAATCATCGATGGTCGGACGAAAATCCCCATGCCACGCAAGAACACAATTTCCAACATCGGTTTAGTATTAATGTATGGTGCGGCATTCTAAATGATCAGTTGTTTGGTCCTTTTGTGTTGGATGGCCATCTTACTGGGGAAGGTTATTTACACTTTTTGGAAGACCATTTAGAGGAAATATTGGACGATGTACCTTTGAATATTCGACAACGTATGATCTTCCAACATGATGGAGCACCCCCTCATTATTCAAATAATGTGAGGAATTTTCTAAATACGCATTTCGGCGATCGCTAGATTGGCAGAGGAGGCCCGCACCCTTGGCCACCGAGATCACCGGACCTCACTCCCNTCACTTGTATTGATTTTATTTACTATATCGGAATTTTTATTACCAGCTTCGTTTATTACGTTTTGTATTCCCGATGAAAACATGATAAGTAAAACGACATTTACTAATAGCTCGGAAGAGGATGCACTCTGCTCTTATTTATATATTTTCGTTGTCACGTTGTCAATGTAAATCTTAGTTACATTCTTAGCTATTATATTCTATTATGTTGTAAACAAACTTTCACAACAATTATTCACCTGGCTCAGAGCGAATAAACTATCTCTTAATACGGACAAAACCAAGTTCATTATGTTTCGAATGCCTCAAAGAGAGTGTCATACAACTTTAAGCGTGAAGTACGGAGATAAATGCATTAAACAAACAAATAATATCAGCCTCTTAGGTATAACATTAAACGAAAATCTAAAATGGGATTCTAATACGGAAAAAATAATAAAAAGTTTGAATAAAACTTTATTTCAAATTCGAATATTACGGGAAACATTAAGCTGCGAGATATTAAAAATGATATATTATGCCGAAATATACCCAAAGCTGACGTATGGTATCACAGCATGGGGTTCAACTTCAGTCTTGAAAGAGATCTTTGTTCATCAAAAAAGAATAGTAAGAGCGATTTGCAACATAAATCAACGACCTTCATGTAGACCGTTTTTCCAACAACTGAATATCCTACCAGTAATATGTATTTATATTTTAGAAATAGCTCATTATATCCACAAGTATAATAATGCTTCAAAATAATGCTATACACGAACATAACACGCGCTGTGATCACATTACGATAGCACAGCATAATTTGGCTATTACCTCAAATAGTCCCATTTTTTTAGGAATAAAAATACATAACCACTTACCGAGACCGTTGAAATCTCTAAACTTAATATTATTTAAATGTAAGTTAAAGTTATTGTTATTGGAGCATTGTTTCTATCATTTAAGCGAGTTCTTCGAGTTTAACTTGTAACTGGACGTTTTCTTCTGTTCTTTGTAAGCGAGGAAATAAAGAAATTATTATTAAATATAACCTTATACGGCTGGTCGAAATTGTATTCTATCCGTATAAGGTCCGTTTTAATTTCAATCAATTGATTTAGACATGGGTCCTTGAGAATTTCGAGGTGTGTCTGAGGTTACCTTGTATCAGGTTGGGTGAAGAACATGTTTTCAGTGATAAAGCAGTTAAAGCAGCTTCCTTTTGTATGTATAAATGAGTAAGGCCTCAAGAATCCCGTTGTATTAAGACATGCTAAATAAGACCCCAGTTCCTTCCGACTAGCCTGCGGCAGATATGCTTAGCCATAATGGCCTTTTCCCACCTTGTCTATGTGGGAGTTCCAGTTTAATTTACTGTCTAGTATTACCCCTAGGTATTTAGCTTTTGTTTTGAGGTTAATAGTTCTGCTCAATGGAGAGTGTTCTCAATTGTAGCTTCCTTCTCCATTGCTTCTGCACCAAGTGTTGGTAAGTACTAGGGCTTTCTGCATTAGTTGAGTTATGATTGTGTCATATTTACCTCGGATTACCAGGTCATCATCATACCCTGAATCCATTTTGGACACCATAGAAAAGGTGAGAGTACTTAGCCTTGGGGACATCCTCTTAGCGTCTTAATATTCAACGACTCGCCTCCCAGACTGGCTGTGATCTGCCAACTTTCATCATGGCTATACACCATTTGATTGTCGACGGATGTGTCGGAGGAGGTGTTATCAAAAGCATCCTATATGTCTATGAAAGCACATAGGGCTATCTCTTTAGTTGCAAATGCCTACTCTAAAGTGTTAGTCAAAGTATGGAGAGCAATAATTGTTCATTTTGCTTTCTGGTAAGCATGTTGACTCGGATGGAGTGGATTAGTGACAAGCATTCCATTCCTAAGGCATTGATCAATTACCTTTTCCATTCCTTTGAGGAGAAATGAAGTTAGGCTAATTGGTCCGTATGCCTTGGGATCGACATTTCAACGCCTACCACTTTTAGGTATGAAGACCATCTTTACTTTTCTCTATAGTATAGGTATATAGCTAAAGCTGTGGCTTGCTATATATATTATTACTGGGAGCAAGTCTTCTATGCCTTTTTGCAGAAAAATAGGCAGATTTCCATACTCTCCAAGCAACTTAAGGAGCTTAAAATTAGAAATAGTCCACCTTACCAGATGGACGGGTTATATCCATCACTTCTGGGTCGGTATCCGCATGGGGCAGACTTTTGAGGAAAGGAAGTGCGTGCTCAGTAAGAGCTCCAGCGATTTCTTAGCATCCTCAGTATATTTTCCGTCTTGTTTGCTAGATTAGTGTTAAGCTAAGTTTCCACATGCACGGATTACTGGCGCCAGTTCATTTGCATGTGGAAATAGCAAAAATCTACAGGCGCCAATAAATTTGTGCCTGTAATCATAGCGCCAATAAAATGAAGCTCTCAGTTGAAATCATGAAGAAAACAGTTCCTAATTTTGACGAAACCTCGGCAAAAGCAAATATACAAAGTATACACAATGCGTATACAATCGAATACCATAAAGTACTTCACCATAAAGCACTTCACATATAAATTTAGAAATTGTGCTTTTTGACAAACAATACATATATTGCAAGGATGTAGAAGAATCTCTAGAAGCCAAAAATCTTAAAGTTGCTTGCACTTTTACGTGAGCTGGAATGGCATCACTCATATGCGTATCTTCTTGTTGTATTTTAGACGATAGTTGCCTCAACAAAAACATGAAACTCTCTTCAGTTATTCTTAAATGATTAAAAAATGCTTGCTGATCTTCATGGCATAATTCTCTAATTAAAGTATTAGACGCACCTAGATTATTTCTACGTGCAATCCACGATCTAACGCAGCTACTATGTTTTCGCTTTTTTTTGTTAATAACGTGTGTAATTCCAAGGAGCATATTTGGACTACCATATTGAAGCCAGCGCGAAGAATATCACTTGACGCCATTTTTATTACTGGGCCAGTACACAGTTATAACATTTATGTGGAAACAACTTCTGGCGCCAGCTAATTGGCGCCACTAAACTTACTGGCGCCAGTAATCCGTGCATGTGGAAATTAGGCTTTATGGTCTTCCGCCAAGATCTTATGCAGGCGAGCAACTGTAGGTGTATTGTCTATGCCTTCACAGAAGCTACGGCAGGTTTTTCTTTTGGCTTTACGGATAGTCAAATTAATTATAGAGGTCCTTATTCCACCAAAGCACATTGAATTGTGCTCTCTTGTGTTTTATTGAACATCTTGATTCATATGGATTACGTATGATATTGTCTAGTTGAAAATAGGCTATTTCAAGATCCTCTCTACTTCCAATATTTGTTTCAATTTCGTCGACCCCTTCGCTGATGTATCTACAAAAAAAGCTCCAATCAGTGAGTGAGGGGATTCTGAATTCTGTCTGTTTTGTCATGTCTGCTACAATGACAATAAATAAACAATAAAAAACAATAATTAAGAGCAAAGAGCATTGTCCAAAACTTAAAGTGGCACAAAGATATTCCAAAAATAACGTTCCAAACGATAAGTTAAATACATAATTTTAAACTAATCGTTTTAAAATGACCCATAACTTTGTTCTAGTAGTTGATGCCCCAAATTGCATCACTAATTCATCTAAACCGAATTATTCCTATTTAAAAGTAGACAATAAAATAGGATTTCCCCTTTCGTTTCTAATTAATCGCAAACAATAAAAAATTCGACCTGATTTACCTCAAACGCGAGGTAAAACCCAAAATCCGATTCATTCAAAATTCCATCAAGCACGGTTATTGTCTCTCCACATTTTTCAATTAATTGACTGTCGAAATAAAAACCGAAATGTCACGAAAACGAAAGCGACCTTGTTCATTGACCTTCCATTAAAAATTTAAATAATAAAAATTTGATATCACCATTAATGTTATAATTTAATTAAAGTTAGTAGCTAAAGAGTTAATTTAAAAGAAAGCCCCCAAAAAGGATTTAATTTGAGATGGAATCTTATTGAAAAAGGCAAAAACTGATAATAACCTTGCCGCAAGAACCCGGTTTAATTTTCAAGGTGAACATGTACACGATTCCCAGATACACCAATATCTACAATTACACCAAGTCAACCTCATTGTTAAGGTTAATAATAATATGATGTAAGGTTTTCTTTTGAAACCAATTTGAATCATTAAATTTGTTTACTTTATGATCCCGTTAACTTAATAATTTAATTTGGTACTTATAAATATCCTAGAAACAAATCTGTAAAAAAAAAAAAATAATTAAGAAAATAAATTCAAAAAAGTATAAGAAAAATAATGCAAAATAAAGAAAAATAAGAACCGGTTGTTATTTCTTTTTGCTTTCTGGTTCACTGCTTGAGCTCATCGAGTCACCTTCAGCCTCGTTCCATATAATCTACTCGGTATTCCCCACTTTTCTCTTTACAAAAATCTTTTTCAAAGAAAACCTTTACAAATTACTTAACTAAATTGAAACTAAATAGCATAATTTGCAAATAATCGTTTTTAAACGTGTGCTTAATAATCAAAGTTTATCCTTTAACCACGAAACAAATTGATAAGAAAAAGGAATAAAAATTCTCCGTCAACATTTCCTGGTAGTTGTGGTCGCATCGTTTCCTAAAGATCTTAATCAAGACCAAACTAAGAAAACGACGTACGACGTTGTTTTTACATAAAAGAAAGAAAGGAGAAGGGGTCCCCCCAACATTCTAAATTATAATTTTTTATGTTGATAACTTAACCAGAGACAGTCGACTCGAAAACATCGCTCAAGATGCGTTCGTTATCTTCGGTACTTAACATAACCTTATTTTTCGGCGTTTTCTTCGTTTTTGCACAAACGCAGAATGTTGATGACAAGATTACCAGCATTTTCGGAACTGGTAATGATGGTTTAAAATGGATCCCTCCCGGGTTCGAAGTGGTTAGCACAACGGCTTTACCCGCTTTATCTGCACTGGAAAGATGCGGTGATGGATCAATGAGGGGATTAAAAGTTTGCGTACCTTACCATAGATGCGATTCCGAAACAGGGACGGTTATTGCTGAACCAAAACCTGAAATTAACACCGATGGAGTTGGTTTAATCGACGTTAGGTAAGTTTTAAAATTAGTTGTCAAAAAATCTGTCAAAAAAAACGTCAAAAAAGTAAATTAATTAAAATAATCAATCGAAACGATTTTTATTAAATTATTTTTATTAATTAATTTTGAAATTATAACGAAAATTGCTAAAATTAAGTTTTGTGTGTTTTTTAAATCAAATTTGATTAAAATTAAAAGTAATAAAAAGAAATAGACAAATAAGAAAGAATCGATGGAAACGTCAAATGTCAAAAATTCGAATTAAATTTCTTAATTATCAAAGATTTAAATTAAAATTTATGCATTTATTCTATTTTTAATGAATTTTTAATCAAAATAATAGAAAAAGAATAAAATTTAATAAAAAAATGTTTTAAAATTAAAATTAATTCTAAATCCATTAACATAAACAATAAAAGATCACCAAATTCCATTAAGATAATAAATTTAATGATCACTTATTTAAATTTTATTTTTTATCTTTTTTAGGGCTGGTGTAAATGAATGTGAAAACTACTTGGACGTATGTTGTTCTTTACCATCAGATGGTCAAATACCAACCCCCTTCCCAACTTCGCAACCACCTAAACCAACTCCAGAGCCTCCTATACCAACTCCAGGACCGGTTCGGGGAAATTCTTGTGGAATAAGAAACATAAACGGCCTTGACTTTACGATTACGGGTAACACGAACGGGGAAGCCCAGTTCGGTGAATTTCCTTGGGTCGTCGCTATCTTAACAACAAATTATAATCCGGCCGTCGATGACTCGCTTGCAATTTGTGGTGGTTCGTTAATCGCCCCGCAAGTTGTTTTAACAGGTGCCCATTGCGTTGCGAAGTAAATTAACTAATTCAAATTTTTTATGCGAAAATTAATTTTGATTATTTTTGCAGGTATCAAAATGATCTGGGTAAAATTAAAGTTCGCGCTGGCGAATGGGATACTTTGACTGAAAAGGAACGGTATCCTTATCAAGAACGCAGCGTTTCTGGAATAATTGTTCATGAGGAATTTAACGAAAAATCTTTAGCTAATGATTATGCTTTAGTTTTACTTGAAAGGGCTTATGTTCAAGCTCCGAATTTAGGAACGATTTGTTTACCGCCAGCTGGCCAAGTTATAGACTCCAAAAACTGCTTTACTGGGGGATGGGGAAAGAAAGCTTTTGGAAGTAAGATTTTGATTATAAAAAATCATCAAGGCAGTTAAAATAAGTTATTTTCCAGATAAAGAATCCTATTCAAACATTTTAAAGAAAATCGAATTACCAACCGTTCCATTCGATAATTGTCAAACTCGATTGAGAAAAACCCGTTTAGGAATTCACTTCCAACTTCATAGCTCGTTCGTTTGCGCGGGAGAACCCGGGAAAGACGCTTGCACGGTGCGACTCATTTTATCTAAGCTTTAAAGTTTTTATTATTTCATTGTATGTTTTTAGGGTGACGGTGGAAGTCCATTAATTTGCCCAGACCCAAATAATCCCAACAGATACGTTCAAGTTGGTATTGTAGCGTGGGGAATTGGTTGCGGGGAGGTTCCGGGGGTTTACGCGGACGTCGTCGGTGCTAGAAATTGGATAGACAAGAAAATGGCCCAAATAGGTTATGACACGACAACTTACACGCAATAAGAAACATTAAAACGACGACAATTTTTATTTTTATAGCTATAACTTAAAAGACCACTTTAATAACGATTTAAATCAAATAATAGTATTTTGTATTCTTTTTTCCACTGTGAATAATCGTATCGAATAAAAAAGTTAAGAAAAATAGTAGATGCGTATTGATTCGCTTGCACCTAAAAACCACTAATCACCAGACGTTTTGGATTATATTATCCTGAATATGTTGAATAATGTGGATAGTGATATGTCTGTCTCAAGCCGAACTAAATGATTTTGTTAGAGATTTGGCCTTAACAAAGGAAAAGCTGAACTGCTTGGTTATAGACTCAAGGAGAAGAATTTGTTGGGAAGAGGAACTAATATTCAACTCTGTCTGGGTGGTGATTTGTGTAGCTCAGGAGCCACCTCAGGATTTGGTAGGTAGCGCTAGTTAGCATAAAATATCACTATGTTGCATATTTTTATTGAACTAAAACTAGTATTAACACTAAGTATCGGGTTTAGCCGTGCGTCTTTAGACCTAGAAACCCGATAGTTTCTAGTTCTAGGTCTAGTGTTAGTTCTAGTTTTACACTAGCACTATCACTAGATCTAATACAAGACCTAGAACTAGAATCATTCGGGTTTAGCCGTCTTGAAAGACGTGCGGCTAAATCCGAATGTTTCTAGTTCTCGGTCTAATGATAGTGTGGTTTAGCCGTGTGTCTCTTAAGACGGAAACTCAAAGATATCATAAGTCGTCACCTTTTCCAACCAAAACTTTTCCTTTGCAAAACTACCCAATGCCTATACCATTAAGCTATGTTATATTTTAGGTGGAACAGTGCAACTGCATAGTACTTTCGTAACTACGGTTAGCGCATTCATATATTGCAAGTTATATGAAATTCCCTGTATATCATAGATATGCCAGAAACAAGACCTGAAAAGCTCGGCTACGCTGATGACTGAGCTTTTGCAATAAGATGTATGTAGATCCTTCGAAGAATCAAAGATCTTGACAGCTGACATAGAGAATATGGAAAGATGATTCACCGTGTATAAAGAAAACTTTGCGTGAGGTATTTAAAAGACTCCACGCCATAATTAAGAATTAAGGCTTAATTTAAGACATAAAAATTAGAAACCTTTTTAGAAACTAAGTTTATAAATTTATCAATCGAAACTCACTAAAGAATTTTTATGAAAGAATTATATTTAATTCAGTTTAGTTTAATTGCAATATCTCTAATTTTAAGTTGAATAATTAAAAACAGATAAGTTTCGGATGTTTTTTAAATTAAATTTAATTAAAACTATGAAGAAAAAATTTATTGATTAAAAAAACATGAGTCACTCGAAACGTCAAAAAAGTCTAATTAATTTTTTTGATTATCAATGTTTTTTTTTTAATTTAAATTTAATTTTATGTATTTATTCCTTTCTTAATTAATTCTTAATAAAAATAATGCAAAAAGAATGCAAAAAGAATGAAATTCCTTTTTAAATTACGTTTCAAATTGAATTAAATCGTAATCCCATTAACATAAATAATATAGGATCGTCAATTTTCAGTAAGATATAAACTTTATAGATCACCCCTTTTATTTTTATTTTCACTTGACATTTTTAATCAATTAATTGAATAAGATTTTGCTGGGGTTTTAAAACATAATCAAATATGAACCACGACGCAAGAATCTGTTTTTTGCAGAATTTTTATGGTATAAGCAACTTAAACGACAAACTTAAGTTTGTAAATTTATCAATCGAAACTCTCTAAACAATTTTTATTAAAGAATTATATTTNCTGTTGATCTATGGCCATAGCCAAAACATCTGTAGCAGCGTGTGATCACAAGTCGTTCTTTGATTCGAGCATTCACCCACCCTATTTTTATGCGATTCATCTTCAACAGTTTATTGGCGATTGGTTCGTTTGCGTGTATAATAGCTTTTCGAAGCTTCTGTGGGTTCTCAGTCGTTACAAAAATTTTGAGATCCCCCTCCAGTTCCGGGAGCTGTCGTTTGATAGCCGCCTGGACTTCATCAGCGGTCGTCAGGCGGTCGAGATCCAGCAGTTCTAGGGTTTTCTTGGACTCTAGGTCAGTGACCGTAGCCTGTTCACCGAGAGCTTCTCGCAGTTTGCTGCCGAAAACGCTAGCGTTCTTTGAGTTTCTACTCAGCTCTACCAATGCGTTTCCGTCCTTTGTTTGCCGAACCAGCTTGACGGTAGTCTCCGTGTCTTCCGGTTTTGTGCTGCCTCGTAGCTCGCGCAGGATGTCTGCATACGTTTTCCCTGTGCTAGGTTTGATCAACAGGGCCGGGTTTCTAGATCTCGGAGCTCTGGCTTTCCCAGGCTTCTTAATAGGGGCGTCTTGAGGGAGATTTTGTACGGCGGTTGCCTCCGTTGTCTCCTCTCTTTCCTTGTTTTTTATTCTCTTCTTTTTTTCGGTTCGTGCCACCTCAATCCATTACGGTACCAGCGGGTTTCGCTGTGGCAACTTGTCTTCTCGGTCTTCTTGTCGCTCTCCGCCCTTGTTCTCCCGTCGTCTTTTGTCGCTTCCGACTGCCGGGCTTGTTGCATTTCGCTTCTTAGCGGTTTTATTTTGCAAGTCCTTTATAAGGTGGAACAGTGCAACTGCATAGTACATTCGTAACTACGGTTAGCGCATTCATATATTGCGAGTTATATGAAATTCCCTGTATATCATAGATATGCCAGAAACAAGACCTGAAAAGCTCGGCTACGCTGATGACTGAGCTTTTGCAATAAGATGTATGTAGATCCTTCGAAGAATCAAAGATCTTGACAGCTGACCTAGAGAATATGGAAAGATGATTCACCGTGTGTAAAGAAAACTTTCCGTGAGGTATTTAAAAGACTCCACGCCATAATTAAGAATTAAGGCTTAATTTAAGACATAAAAATTAGAAACTAAGTTTATAAATTTATCAACCGAAACTCACTAAAGAATTTTTATGAAAGAATTATATTTAATTCATTTTAGTTTGATTGCAATATCTCTGATTTTAAGTTGAATAATTAAAAACAAATAAGTTTCGAATGTTTTTTAAATTAAATTTAATTAAAACTATGAAGAAAAAATTTATTGATTAAAAAAACATGAGTCACTCGAAACGTCAAAAAAGTAGAATTAATTTTTTTGATTATCAATGTTTTTTTTCAATTTAAACTTAATTTTATGTATTTATTCCTTTCTTAATTAATGCTTAATAAAAATAATACAAAAAGAATTAAATTCCTTTTTAAATTATCGTTCAAATTGAATTAAATCGTAATCCCATTAACATAAATAATATAGGATCGTCAATTTTCAGTAAGATATTAACTTTATAGATCACCCTTTTTTATTTTTATTTTCACTTGACATTCTTAATCAATTAATTGAATAAGATTTCGCTGGGGTTTTAAAATATAATCAAATATGAACCACGACGCAAGAATCTGTTTTTTGCCAAATTTTTATGGTATAAGCAACTTAAACGACAAACTTATGTTTGTAAATTTATCAATCGAAACTCTCAAAACAATTTTTATTAAAGAATTATATTTAATTCATTTTAGTTTAATTGCAATATCTCTAATTTTAAGTTGAATAATTAAAAACAAATAAGTTTCGGATGTTTTTTTAAATTAAATTTAATTAAAACTATGAAGAAAAAATTTATTGATTAAAAAAACATGAGTCACTCAAAACGTCAAAAAAGTCGAATTAATTTTTTTTATTATCAATGTTTTTTTTCAATTTAAACTTAATTTTATGTATTTATTTCTTTCTTAATTAATTCTTAATAAAAATAATGCAAAAGGAATTAAATTTCTTTTTAAATTACCGTTCAAATTGAATTAAATCGTAATCCCATTAACATAAATAATATAGGATCGTCAATTTTCAGTAAGATATAAATTTTATAGATCACCCCTTTTATTTTTATTTTCACTTGACATTTTTAATAAATTAATTGAATAAGATTTTGCTGGGGTTTTAAAATAGAATCAAATATGAACCACGACGCAAGAATCTGTTTTTTGCAAAATTTTTATGGCATAAGCAACTTAAACGACAAACTTAAGTTTGTAAATTTATCAATCGAACCTCACTAAACAATTTTTATTAAAAAATTATATTTAATTCAGTTTAGTTTAATTGCAATATCTCTAATTTTAAGTTGAATAATTAAAAACAAATAAGTTTCGGATGTTTTTTAAATTAAATTTAATTAAAACTATGAAGAAAAAATTTATTGATTAAAAAAACATGAGTCACTCGAAACGTCAAAAAAGTAGAATTAATTTTTTTGATTATCAATGTTTTTTTTTCAATTTAAATTTAATTTTATGTATTTATTCCTTTCTTAATTAATTCTTAATAAAAATAATGCAAAAGGAATTAAATTCCTTTTTAAATTACGTTTCAAATTGAATTAAATCGTAATCCATTAACATAAATAATAAAAGATCGTCAATTTTCAGTAAGATATTAACTTTATAGATCACCCTTTTTTATTTTTATTTTCACTTGACATTTTTAATCAATTAATTGAATAAGATTTTGCTGGGGTTTTAAAATATAGTCAAATATAAACCACGACGCAAGAATCTGTTTTTTGCAAAATTTTTATGGTATAAGCAACTTAAACGACAAACTTAAGTTTGTAAATTTATCAATCGAAACTCTCTAAACAATTTTTATTAAAGAATTATATTTAATTCATTTTAGTTTAATTGCAATATCTCTAATTTTAAGTTGAATAATTAAAAACAAATAAGTTTCGAATGTTTTTTAAATTAAATTTAATTAAAACTAAAAAGAAAAAATTTATTGATTAAAAAAACATGAGTCACTCGAAACGTCAAAAAAGGAGAATTAATTTTTTTGATTATCAATGTTTTTTTTTCAATTTAAATTTAATTTTATGTATTTATTCCTTTCTTAATTAATTCTTAATAAAAATAATGCAAAAGGAATTAAATTCCTTGTTAAATTACGTTTCAAATTGAATTAAATCGTAATCCCATTAACATAAATAATAAAAGATCGTCAATTATCAGTAAGATATTATTTTATAGATCACCTTTTTATTTTTATTTTCATTTGACATTTTTAATCATTTAATTGAATAAGATTTTGCTGGGATTTAAAATATATACAAATATGAACCACGACGCAAGAATCTGTTATAGCAAATTTTTGTGGTATACGCAACTTAAACAACTAACTTAAGTTTGTAAATTTATCAATCGAAACTCTCTAAACAATTTTTATTAAAGAATTATATTTAATTCATTTTAGTTTAATTGCATTATCTCGAATTTTAAATTGAGTAATTAAAAACAAATAAGTTTCGGATGTTTTTTAAATTAAATTTAATTAAAACTAAAAAGAAAAAATGTATTGATTAAAAAAACATGACNTCGAAATCTCCATCAGCTGGCGCTGCAAGCTGGTATAAGAAATAATATTTTAGAGGTTACCTCAAGAATTATTAATTTTATCAAAAAAATGCTTAAGGAATATTTATTTAGAATTAAGAAAGCAACAATTTTTCTTAGCACCATTTTTTAAAATTCCATCATTTTAATTTTCACATTGTACGTTAACCCCTTCCCTACCAGAATTAAATTTTATAAAACGTCATTTATCACCCAGAGGTACTTTTAAGTCCCACCAAGTCCCACTTAAATTTTAATAATCACGTTAGCTTTGATTAGCTGAAAGTACGTATATTTTGCGAGACTTTTAAGTATCGCTGGTAGACAAAGGGTTAAATTAATTAAAAATTGCATAAATTGTGTTGTTTATAAGTTAAGATGTTTATTGTTTTTAGCATAATCATTAATCGATTGTTTTTCAAGTAATATTTTATTTTGGCCTTTAGATTCAGTAAATTATCNCAATTTAAACTTAATTTTATGTATTTATTTCTTTCTTAATTAATTCTTAATAAAAATAATGCAAAAGGAATTAAATTTCTTTTTAAATTACCGTTCAAATTGAATTAAATCGTAATCCCATTAACATAAATAATAAAAGATCGTCAATTCTCAGTAAGATATTAACTTTATAGATCACCCTTTTTTATTTTTATTTTCACTTGACATTTTTAATCAATTAATTGAATAAGATTTTGCACGAAATGAGATGAGCCTCGACGTAAGAATCTGTTATAGCAAATTTTTGTAGTATAAGCAACTTAAACGACCTTGACTTTGTGAGTACAGGTAACACGAACGGGGAATCCCGCTTCGGTCAATTCCCTTGGTATAGATTATAATCCGGTCGTTGACTATTCGCTCGCAATTTGTTATGATTTAAGAATCTCCATGTAAATTGGTTTAATAAACTGATAATAAAAAAGGCGTCAGTTTTAAAAATAATGAAAATGTTTTCTGAAAATAATTAAAACCTGGTGGAGCTTCAACCAGTTTGCGACGTGGTCATCTTGTAAGTTATTTAACTTAATTGGTTTCCTTTAAAATACAAATAAAAAGGATTCGAAGAGAGAACGGGTTCATTTAAAACCTCATTCGATATCAAACCGCCGAGACGAAATCATCAAAGATGACAATTTTTTCAAGCATTTTTCTAATAAACGTATTTTTTATTTTGGTTCGTGGTCAACTCGTGGAAAAAGATTTTAAAGCCATTCACACTTACGTTAATGCTGTATTCAACAACGAAAACCCGCATTGGGTTCCTGAAAATTTCACTTTAGTCAGTACAACCCCCTTACCGGTAGTGAAAGCGGTGCCAAGATGCGGTGAAGGGGGATCGAGAGGCATAAAAATTTGTGTACGTTATGATGAATGTGATCCAGCTACGAAAGCGGTTAAACACCCTCAGGTTTATGTACAACTTACTAGTGTACACGAAGTTGATAAAGGGTGAGTGCTTTTTTGGAAAATTTGGCTAAATAATTAATATTAACTATTTAAGCGATTTGGAAACGGAATGTAATAATCTCATGGATACTTGTTGCTTTTTATATCCCCCAAATCCAACTACGATTAAACCAACTACGATTAATTCGAGTACAACTAATTCAAATACTTTTCAACTAACTACACCTACACCAACAACTAATAAACCAACTGAAATATCAATTAGTTATTGTGGAAAAAGGAATTATCAAGGTCTCAATTCTTCTATAACAGTTAAAAATGATGAAGCTCAATACGGGGAGTTCCCGTGGGTTATTGCCATTGTTAAAACCCAGTATAACCCAATCTTAAATGAGTCTGACTTGGATTGTAGTGGTTCGTTAATCCATCCGGGGGTTGTTTTAACTGCTAGTTATTGTGTGCAACAGTACATAGATAAACCAAATCAATTAAAAGTTTTGGCTGGCGAATGGGATAGTTTATCGGAACAAGAAATTTATCCAACACAAGAACGCAGGGTTACAAAAATAATTATCCATGAAAATTACGATCCAAACACTGGAGCAAATAATTTCGCCTTAATTTTCCTTGACAAAATTTTTGCTCCGGCTAAAAATATACAAACGATATGTTTGCCATTACATAAACAACATATTGAATCAAGGAATTGTTTCATCACTGAATGGGGACAAGATCGCTTTAATAGTAAGTACTTTTCTCTTTTAACTTTAAAATAAATCTTAATCATTTTCCAGATCGTACATTAAATTCAAACATTTTAAAAAAACTTGAACTCCCAATTGTTCCCCGGGATATTTGCCAACAACAATTTCGTGCAAATCAATATGGCCCTGATTATCTCCTTCCTGAATCGATGGTTTGTGCTGGAGGATATACTTCGGAAAATTGCATTGTTTGTACTAATTTTTGTTTGTTAAATTAAAACAAAATTTTTTTGATTTTATATTTTAGGGCGATCCTGGGACTCCATTAATTTGTCCAGATCCACATAACAAGAACAGATATATTCAGGTCGGTATTTTAATAGGAGGACTTAATTGCGGTAATGGACCGCGAGCTTACGCCAACATAGCCAGGGCTAGACATTGGATAGATGACAAAATATCAGTGATGGGTTATGACTCAATTACTTACGCACGATGAAATAACAAAAAATTAATTAAAGTATCGTGAAGGAAACTAGCCAATCACACGGCGCTTCATTAACGCCATCTATTATCATATTCACAAGACTTGTATAACAAAAACATTTTTTTGTTTTGCTTTTATGTAATCTGAATGAAAATAAAATACAATACAAAGAGAAAACTTTGATTTTGTCTTTTTTTTAACATCATCATCAATTGATTTCTTTACTTATCATAACAAAAACAACGTTATTATTTGATAATTGCAGTTAGAGAGGTCACGATAAGAAAAGATTTCTAGCTAAATTTGAATCTTGGCCAGTCGACATTGAAGCATCGATATCATCACGACCTAAATAAATTTATTTCCAAGAAATCATCAACTATGTATATATTTCCACGAAATCTCCACGCTATCCTATTTATCATCGCTATTTCTGAATTGGCGTCGTCTCCAACAACCAAAACCAATCCACATTGAGTTCCTGCCGGTGAGCCTAAAAATCTTATACCACGAATGACCGCATTGGCTAGCTGTGGTGAAGGAAAAACAGAAGGAGTAAAAATTTGCGTTCCTTACTATAAATGCGATCCTTTTACGGGTGAGGTTTTACCTAACGGAAATATAGCAACTAATTACATAGATATAAAGTGAGTAAAATAATTAGAAAAGGAACAATAATCAACATTAAATGTATTACTTTTCCTTTTTAGAGATCTTGAAAATGAATGCGAACATATTACGGAAAGTTGTTGCTTTTTACCTGGTAAAGGTAGATCAAAAAATCATAATGCAACATCGGGGAAGGTCTAAATCTACTCAGCAACAACATTTTATTATATACATATACATACTAGTACATTGTAATTTTTATATACATAGTTTGTATAAACCAGATTGTTGTTATTATTTCAATAAGTTTGGCGAATTTCTATTTGTTGACCTTTTACTTGCTAAACAATACACATTGAAATTAATTTGAAGTTATCTCAAGAATTATTAATTTAATCAAAAAAATGCTTAAGGAATATTTATTTGGAATTAAGAAAGTAATATTTTTTCTTAATAGCATTTTTCGAAATTCCAATATTTTAATTTTCCCACTGAATAGTACATTAAATGCGACTCAATGCAACTCGAAAGATATCATTTTTATTGAAAAATGTTTCGTATAATATTTGTTAATAAAGTCTTTTAAAATCAACTTTTTGCCTAAAAAATTCGAAATCTCCACCAGATAGCACTGCATGCTGGTATAAAAAGTAATATTTTTCAAGTTATTTCAAGAATTATTAATTTTATCAAAAAAATGCTTAATGAATATTTATTTAGAATTAAGAAAGTAATAATTTTTCTTAATAGCATTTTTCGAAATTCCAACATTTTAATTTTCCCACTGAATAGTACGTTAAATGCGACTCAATGCAATTCGAAAGATATCATTTTTATTGAAAAATGTTTCGTATAATATTTGTTAATAAAGTCTTTTAAAATCAACTTTTTGCCTAAAAAATTCGAAATCTCCACCAGATAGCGCTGCATGCTGGTATATAAAGTAATATTTTTCAAGTTATTTCAAGAATTATTAATTTTATCAAAAAGATGCTTAAGGAATATTTATTTGGAATTAAGAAAGTAATAATTTTTCTTAATAGCCTTTTTCGAAATTCCAACATTTTAATTTTCCCACTGAATAGTACGTTAAATGCGACTCAATGCAACTCGAAAGATATCATTTTTATTGAAAAATGTTTCGTATAATATTTGTTAATAAAGTCTTTTAAAATCAACTTTTTGCCTAAAAAATTCGAAATCTCCACCAGATGGCACTGCATGCTGGTATAAAAAGTAATATTTTTGAGGTTATTTCAAGAATTATTAATTTTATCAAAAAAATGCTTAAGGAATATTTATTTGGAATTAAGAAAGTAATAATTTTTCTTAATAGCATTTTTCGAAATTCCAACATTTTAATTTTCCCACTGAATAGTACGTTAAATGCGACTCAATGCAACTCGAAAGATATCATTTTTATTGAAAAATGTTTCGTATAATATTTGTTAATAAAGTCTTTTAAAATCAACTTTTTGCCTAAAAAATTCGAAATCTCCACCAGATGGCACTGCATGCTGGTATAAAAAGTAATATTTTTGAGGTTATTTCAAGAATTATTAATTTTATCAAAAAAATGCTTAAGGAATATTTATTTGGAATTAAGAAAGTAATAATTTTTCTTAATAGCATTTTTCGAAATTCCAACATTTTAATTTTCCCACTGAATAGTACGTTAAATGCGACTCAATGGAACTCATTGTAACGCGAAGGATATCATTTTTATTGAAAAATGTTTCGTATAATATATGTTAATAAAGTCTTTTAAAATCAACTTTTTGCCTAAAAAATTCGAAATCCCCACTAGATGGCGCTGCATGCTGGCATAAAAAGTAATATTTTTGAGGTTATCTCAAGAATTATTAATTTTATCAAAGAAATGCTTAAGGAATATTTATTTAGAATTAAGAAAGCTATAATTTTTCTTAAAAGCATTTTTCGAAATTCCGACATTATAATTTTCCCACTGAATAGTACGTTAAATGCGACTCAATGGAACTCATTGTAACTCGAAGGATATCATTTTTATTGAAAAATGTTTCGTATAATATTTGTTAATAAAGTCTTTTAAAATCAACTTTTTGCCCAAAAAATTCGAAATCTCCATCAGCTGGCGCTGCACGCTGGTATAAGAAATAATATTTTAGAGGTTACCTCAAGAATTATTAATTTTATCAAAAAAATGCTTAAGGAATATTTATTTAGAATTAAGAAAGCAATAGTTTTCACATTGTACGTTAAATTAATTAAAAATTGCATAAATTGTGTTGTTTATAAGTTAAGATGTTTATTGTTTTTAGCATAATCATTAATCGATTGTTTTTCAAGTAATATTTTATTTTGGCCTTTAGATTCAGTAAATTATCTTTGTATACAGGCTGTCCCAGCGAGACCGGTCATTAGACGTTTCTGGGGTTCTGGCCAAAATAAAAATTTGAGAATTTAGACTTAAGTATTATCAGTTACGTTCTCTTCGACTAAAATATTTTTTAGCCTTAGTTTTTTAGATTTCTAGCACTTCCGGTTATACCGGGAGTCCACACTTACTTTATTTTTTTAAATGGAACACCCTGTACATTTTTACATATTTGGATTTGTCTGTTTTCAAGGTTTATAAATAACTTTACTTTTTGCAATTTGATTCGGCCGTTCTCAAGTTATTCGAATTTTTCCAAAAAAATCTACTCCAGCAGATTCAAAAACTTAGAGAACACTCGATTTTTGGGATATCAATTTAGGATTCAGAACATGTTTAAGCAACATGATGGAGTATGTTTAGATGTCGAGAACGGCTGAACATTTATACAGCGAACGTAATTGATAATACTTACGTCTAAATTCTCAAATTTTTATTTTGGCCAGAACCCTAGAAACGTCTAATGACCGGTCTCGCTGAAACACCCTGTATAGTATACTATCATTATCTTTTAAAAATAAAATGAAAGAAAACACACGAAAGAGAAGGAGGTGTATTTAAATTTTAAAACGTCCTAACCGTTATTCAGTGTAAGCTTGAGTTCGAAGATATCAAAAATGTATTCTCAAAGTCTCAGTCTAATCATAATTTTTATCGCTTTAATTTGTGGAGAAGAAGTCACCGAGCAGGTTAATTCTGTTAACATTTCTCGCTTATACAAAAGCAACCCACATTGGGTACCTTCGAATGGAAGATTGGTGCCTGATGGCGGTTCAGATGTTATGCTAGAACAAAAAAAATGCGGTGAAGGACCTATGAAAGGAATTCAAATTTGCGTACACTATAATAGATGCGATCCCATTACAAAAGAAATTATTCCAGAAACTGTAACACGAATGAGGGGTCTTTCTCTGTTTCCAATGTGAGTACCAATCACAATAATTAAATTGAATACACAAATTATGTCTTACAGTAAACAGGATCAATAGGTTATCCGAAGCCTACGATATTCCAGACCGACTGTAATGTAACACCATTACAATACGGCCTGGAATATCGTAGGCTCAGGGTTATGACATCTTTATACGTTTTATTCATAACGTTAAAAACAAGATTTAAATGTAATTGTTTATAAAATTTTTTTTTAAATATTTAGTGGAACTGAATGTCCCGAACTTTTGGATATATGTTGTACTATACCAGAAAAAGATAGAACAACAACCACCTCATCAACTACAACAGAATTAACTCCAACTAAACCAACTCCACCTATTCCTACATTTAAACCAACTACATTGAAACCAACCAGACCAAAACCAACTCAGCTACAACTTAGTTACTGTGGAATAAGAAATCCTAACGGTCTTAATACTCCTAATGTAGGTAACGACAGTGACGAAGCCCGATATGGGGAATTTCCTTGGGTAGTCATGATTTTCAAAACTGATTATGATTCTAATGAGTCTCGCTCGATTTGTGGAGGATCATTAATTTCCCCGGCGGTCATTTTGACAGCCGCCCATTGTGTACAAAAGTGAGTCGATTATTTTTATTTTGTTAAATTAACAATATTTTTTTAAGCTATGTAAACAATTTGGATAAAATAAAAGTTCGCGCTGGCGAATGGGACATTTTATCGGAACAAGAGTCATATCCGAAACAAGATCGCGGTGTCTCACAAATAATTATCCACGCTAATTACAATCAAAATAGTGGAGAAAACAACTTCGCTTTAATTTTCCTTGAAACTCCTTATACCAGAGCGGAAAATATAGGAACGATTTGTTTGCCACTATATAGACAAGTTATTTACTCCAAAAATTGTTTTACTGGTGGATGGGGAAAGGAAAACGGTACGGATCTATAGCTGCGAGAACGCATCAATTGCATAAAGCAATTTTTTTTTCCAGCGCATTCAAGTTATTCAAATATTTTGAAGAAAATCGAACTACCAATCGTTTCGTGTGATATTTGCCAAAAAGAACTGCGTAAAACAGAACTTGGACCTAGCTTCGTCCTACCCGATACTATGATATGTGCTGGAGAATATGGTAAAGATACATGTACGGTATGTTCCCAATCAAAGTTGAAATAAAAGTTCCATTTAATGATATTACTTTTTGAATTATTTTAGGGTGATGCTGGAGGTCCGTTGGTTTGTCCAGACCCATACAATCCGAAGAGATACGTCCAAGTTGGTATTGTGGCTTGGGGAGTTGGATGCTTTGAAGCTCCTGGGGTTTATTCTGACGTAGCTAGCGCTCGACATTGGATAGATGCTGTAATGGCTGATAAAGGTTATAATCCAATTCCATATTCATAATCAAATAAAAACATGTTGTAATGCTTTGAATACAATTATTGAGATGAAAATAAAAAAAATTTTAATTATGATGGTTCGTTTTTAACTAGTGATGGAACGGATAGTGATTTTCTGAAAAGCAGGATACCGAATATTCGGCATCCCCTTCAGCCGGATATCTGGTTATCCGGCCATTATGGTTATAATTTCTGGTACATTTCTAAAGTGATACCCTACATTGCCATATTATTTGAATAAAAATGAAATTAATAAGAAAGCTGATAAGATATCTCAACTTATTTGGATCCAAGATACAAAATAAACATTTTTGATGCTTTGATCCTTCAAGAAATTAATTTTATAGCGAATTTTGAAAGTTATTGATGAAAATTTAACACGGCAGCATTTAACGGGCTCTATCTTCTGCAGAAGCCAGGTAAGGGGTGGTGGTGTCATCATTCTAGTCAGAGATTGCTACAAATACGAAGAGATTACTGAGGTGAAAATGCTTAGTATCGAGCAACATGCAGAGATGGGGGCGATTGTGATAACCAAGGAAAAGATTGCGGTAATGTCAATATACAGACCGCCTTCGGCGGTACAAAGTATCTTTCTGGAGCAACTTGAAGAAGCTCTCTTGTATATACAATTAAAATATCCAGAGTACGAACTACTGGTTACAGGGGACTTTAACATAGATGTAATCAAAGATTCAACTCAAAAAAGAGAATTAATCGATTTAACCACGTCTTACAACCTAATCAATTGCTTAGACACAGTGTCGAGGCCAGCATCAACAAGATGCGTAGATAATATGTTTACAAACATTCCCACTCGATGTCGCAGGGAAACCACTTTGCAGTTGCATTTGTCAGATCACTACTGCCAGTTCATGCAGGTGTATAGAGATGGGAACAGTGTAGATAAAAAGGCAAAACTATCATACCGTATATATGATGAGTCTAATAAAAAGCTCTTTAAAGAAAAGATGGATACAGTCAATTGGGAGTCTATTATTCAACATGATTATGATGCGAATGAGTCCTATAATGCTTTCCATAATGAGTTCCATCGCCTACACAACACGTGTTTTCCTGTGAAAAGCAAAACTAAATTTCAAAGCCAGCGACAAAGCTGCTTTCATAAATTACCGGAATATATAAAGAAACAGAAAAACAACCTAAACCTGCTGGGAATGATTGCATCTGTGGAAAAAAGCGAAGAAGCATATGACCGATATAAACAGTACAAACTAGATTATCATCGTTGTTTAGAATCTGTACGGAAAACCAACAACATCAAAGCTATTGAAACCGCAGATAACAAACAAAAAGTTATCTGGAGTATTGTTAATAATGAGCGTCAGAAATCAAAACAAAAAAATCTGGGTAGCGAAATACAGGCTCACAATTTCAGTGAACATTTAGCACGTGATGTCGAAGTTCTCCTTGAACGGATGACGGCATCAACACGAAATTATAACACCTACCTAAAAAATAACCAAAACGACTACTCTAGATCATGTTTCTTNCGTTAAATTAATTAAAAATTGCATAAATTGTGTTATTTATAAGTTAAGATGTTTATTGTTTTTAGCATAATCATTAATCGATTGTTTTTCAAGTAATATTTTATTTTGACCTTTAGATTCAGTAAATTATCTTTGTATACAGGCTGTCCCAGCGAGACCGGTCATTAGACGTTTCTGGGGTCCTGGCCAAAATAAAAATTTGAGAATTTAGACTTAAGTATTATCAATTAAAAAATTGATTATTATGAATTGAAAAAATTGTCGATCATTTCAAAAATTTATTTCTCAAGAAGTAAAAGGGATTTTTCAAAACGGCTTTTTGCATTAAAAAGAGGATACTTTAATTAATAATAGGGGATATTTCCACAAGGATTCTTCAAGAAATGAATTTTATAGCGAATTTTGAAAGTTATCGATGAAAATTGCAACATCGAACATTTTATCAAAACTTCAAACATTCTTTTCTCAAAAACTAACAGTTATTTTTCAAAACGTGTCGGTTCATTGGAAAGAGGACACTCTTATTAACACTTTAGGAAATTTTCATACTCATATTCCAAGAAGTGAATTTTATACGAATTTTTAAAACTTAATTGGCGAAAATTGCAAAATTCGAAAAAATTGTCGATCATTTCAAAAATTTTTTTCTCAAGAACTAAAAGTGATTTTTCAAAACGGCTTTTTGCATTAAAAAGAGGATACTTTAATTAATAATTGGTGATATTTCCACAAGGATCCTGCAAGAAATGAATTTTATAGCGAATTTTGAAAGCTATCGATGAAAATTGTAACATCGAAAATTTTATCAAAACTTTAAATATTGTTTTCTTAAAACATAAAAGATATTTTTCAAAACGTGTTGGTTCATTGGAAAGAGGACACTCTTATTAACACTTTGGGAAATTTTCATACTGATATTCCAAGAAGTGGATTTTATACGAATTTGTAAAACTTAATCGGCGAAAATTGCAAAATTCGAAAAAATTGTCGATCATTTCAAAAATGTATTTCTCAAGATGTAAAAGGGATTTTTCAAAACGGCTTTATGCATTAAAAAGAGGATACTTTAATTAATAATAGGGGATATTTCCACCAGGATTCTTCAAGAAATGAATTTTATAGCGAATTTTGAATGTTATCGATGAAAATTGCAACATTGAAAATGTTATCAAAACTTCAAACATTGTTTTCTCAAAAACTAAAAGTTATTTTGCAAAACGGCTTATTGTATTAAAAAGAGAATAGTTTAATTAATAATTGGTGATATTTTCACAAGGATTCTTCAAGAAATTAATTTTATAGCGAATATTGAAAGTTATCGATGAAAATTGCAACATCGAAAATTTTATCAAAACTTCAAATATTGTTTTCGCAAAAACTAAAAGTTATTTTTCAAAACGTGTTAGTTCATTCGAAAGAGGGTACTCTTATTAATAATTTAGGAAATTTTCATACTCATATTTCAAAAAGTGGATTTTATACGAATTTTTAAAACTTAATTGGCGCAAATTGCAAAATATGAAAAAATTATCGATCATTTCAAAAATTTATTTCTCAAGAACTAAAAGTGATTTTTCAAAACGACTTGATGCATTAAAAAGAGGATACTTTAATTAATAATTGGTGATATTTTCACAAGGATCCTTCAAGAAATTAATTTTATAACGAATTTTGAAAGTTATCGATGAAAATTGCAAAATTCGAAAAAATTGTCGATCATTTCAAAAATTTATTTTTCAAGAACTCAAGGGGATTTTTCAAAACGGCTTTTTGCATTAAAAAGAGAATACTTTAATTAATAATCGAAAGTGATAAATGCGATAGTTCTGTTAGTAATGAATGTGATGATGAATTACAAGCGAAGAGAAGGAAACTAGACGAAATTACAAAGATAGATACAAAGACAAACCTGATATAAATAAAGTTGTATTCAATGAAAAAAGTCCTATTGGGGTTGAACTTGATTATTATATGCAGTGTCCAACACTTAAAAGAGATACTAATTCCTGTGAATAGTGGAGTACTAAGTAATAGGTTTTTAATATCCCGCCAAAACCGAATAGTTGCCGGATATCCGTTCCACCACTATTTTCAACCCTCAACTACTTGTTAACAAAATGTATAAAAAAAGGAAATTCCAAGAGGAAGTTCTTTTTAGTTCTTTTGAGTTCATTGCTTCATTTATTGATGATATCTTATTGCAACCTGCTCCTCTAAAGAACTGGTTAAGACTGCCATCCACTAAAGACGACTTTTCCCTTTTTTAAATACAAATAAAAAGAAATGTTAAATAAGAAGAAAAGTTCGCAACTAGCCGGTTCAGTTGATATAAACACGTTCGAAGAACACAATCAAAGATGTATCTATCAAATATGTTTTCTCAATTTTTTTACGTAATCTTATTTTTCGTGGTTTTTCTTCGCACCACGACGATTACCGCGTCTCCAGTAAGCGATGAATCGGAAGATTCCTTAAAAACATCACTCTTTTGCGATGAAAACGAAAAAAAAGTGTGTGTACCTTATTATATGTGTAACCCTACTACAAATACGATTATTCCATCGTCAGCTTATTACAACTATGATATGGCAGAACCTGTAAATCATTTTATTAATTTAAAGTGAGTTCATTTTTGTACCATTTTAATAGCAAAATATATTTGATTTAAATTTATTAGGAATGAAGGGAATAAATGTCCAAACATATTGGATAAATGTTGTAAACAAGAAGAATTACCCCCCAACACCGAAGCTGCACCTATATCAAGTACTTTTCTTAATTCACATAAAGTAAATTCGTCACAACTTAGTTATTGTGGAATAAGAAATCCTCACGGCCTCGGTTTTACCATCACAGGTGATGATGGGGGCGAAGCTCAATACGGGGAATTTCCTTGGGTTCTTGCAATTTTAAAAACTGATTATAATCCAGCCGTGGATGAATCTTCATCGATTTGTGGTGGATCATTAATTTCGCCGCAAGTTGTTTTAACTGCAGCTCACTGTGTTGAAAAGTAAATTAATTAATAAATTAGAGTTAACATTTTCCTTTTTTTAAGTTATTTAGGTAAATTGGATAAAATAAAAGTGCGTGCTGGCGAATGGGATACATCAACCGACGCAGAATTATATCCGAAACAAGAACGTGGTGTTTCAAAAATAATTACACACATAAACTATAATGCTGACACTTTAGAAAATGATTTAACTTTAATTTTTCTTGATAAACCATATACTCGAGCTGCGAATGTAGGCACGATTTGTTTGCCGTTATACAAACAAGTTGCGAACTCAATGAATTGTTTCACCGGTGGATGGGGAAAAACAGATTTTGATAGTAAGTTTTAATTATTATAATTTAAATCACAACTAATTATAATCTAATTTCCAGATAACGCAAGTTATGCAAACATTTTAAAGAAAATCGAATTACCTATTGTGCCGCCTAATGTTTGTCAAGCTGTATTGCGCAAAAATGGACTTGGACCTAATTACATCCTTCCCGACACTCTTATTTGCGCCGGGGAATATGGTAAAGATGCTTGTAAGGTAAATAAAAATGTCCCCACAAATCTTTCGATTATTTCTATAAAATTAATTTTATGTTCATTGTTATCGTTTTATATTTTCTTCTTAGGGTGATGGAGGAAGCCCATTGATTTGTCCAGACCCAAATAATCCAAAGAGATACGTTCAAGTTGGTATTGTAGTGGGGGGAATAGAGTGCTTTAAAGCTCCAGGACTTTATGCAGATGTAGCCGGCGCTAGACATTGGATTGATGCCATAATGGCTCAAGAAGGTTATAATACAATTCCTTATTCAAAATGAAGAAATTCATAAAAATGTAATCAACCTTGATGATAATAAAAAGTTCGATTTATCCTATTCTCAATGTATTTTTTCTTGTTTTTCTACCTTAGTTCGTAATTTTTCATTTCTGGTATTTCGATTTCTACATGTCTTTCTTCTTTTCTGGAATTAAATATTTGTTGATTTTCTTAATCATTTTTTGTGCTAATCGGTTTCTTTATCATTTCTTCTTGTCTCTCCTTTATATTTATTCCGTCTCTAAGATAAGATGTTGCACCCACATCGATCATAAAGGCTCTTTCTGATCATTTTCCTTTTACCTTTCCTTTTGTCCATTCTGAATCAGATCTTAATTGTACATAAACTGATTTTCCTATCATCAAATCAGGTAGTTTTCTTGTTTTTCTATCGTAATACAATTTGTTGTATTTCTTTTATTGTTTTCAATTTTCTCAGATACATGTTGTATGACACTAGGTTTATAGTGATCTGCTTTTAGAGGTAAGCTACATCTAGTTTTTCTTGGCATTAATCGTTGAACTGGACTTGTATTAATTTTATTTGGTGTTTTCTCCAATAATGTTCACTAAATATGCTCACCGCTTTTCTTTATTGCAGTTCTGCTTTCCCATTTCAGCATGTTTGTTGACAAAATGTGTACCATTATCAAATAACACCAATTCAGGAACTTCATATCGACTAAATGTTTCTTTCATCTTCTCGATAACTGATATTCGACTTAAATCTTTTAGAAAATATATTTTGAAATAGTCAGATCTACTATTCGTAACACTTCGTAACACGTCTGAAGACGCACGGCTAAACCCGAATGTTTCTAGTTCTAAGTCTAGTGTTAGTTCTAGTTTTATTTGTAATTCAGCGCTAGATTGAGGGACACCCGGTATAGCAACATCATGTTTGGATTCATTTTAAAGTTTTTTTTTAATAAAGAATACATCATAAAAGAACACCATGAAGTTGTCCATTTGTCTATTATATGATAATTGACTTCAGGTTTAAAATGTCAACCTCAATTGATGGTTCAATGACATATTTGTAATCTTCATTAAAAATCCTTTAAAATAAGTACAAACACGACATATTTATCTTCAATATTAAGGAAGTTATGGTCAACTTTCGGTTACAAATGTCAACGTCAATTTTGACACATTTGTAATCGTCGTGAAAAATCCTTTTCCGTCGACCGTGTATTTATAAAATTTATAAATGTATACAAAATCATTCATTAATGACACCTATTAATAAACGATTTTAAGAAAGTCCGACCGAACTAAATAGTAGTCAATTTAATAAATATTCTCCAATGAAATTTGTAATACCGACCCAACCGACCACTATATCTATTCGGTAAGACTACAAAAATAAATTATGACACATTAAAAGTGAGGTTATTTTGCCAGTGACAGAATTGGGAGATTTTTCAACGATGGATTTTCTCTATTTTGTTGAAAAGACGGTCAACGGAAAAATATTGTAACTAACTCGTATATTAAAATGCGATTAATTATCTCAATAATTAACGTTAAAATATGTCGATAATGAATCGCCTTCATTAATAGACTTGTTGGTTAAATAACTATTACAATGAGTCCAAACATGATACGTTTAATTCCAATATTAGTCGAGATATAAGCAACTTCCGGTTTGAAATGTCAATGTCATTTTGACAAATTCTTAATTTTTATGAAATGTCTTAAAATTTATCACAAAAACAAATATACAATAAAAAAAATTTAAAATTAAGTATAAGTACGAAGGCTTTCACGGCCGGTGTGAATTAAACTAAAATTAGAACTAAAACTAGAGCTAACAACCTTCTGCAACTTTCTTTTTTGATCTCGTCACTTCGAACCAGTTTCTGAAGAAGGTTGCAACATGCCATCCGAAACGTCAAACCTTTTATTAAAAGACGCACGACAAAACCCGAAAGTTTCTACTGTTTGTTCTAGTTTTAGTTCTAATTTTATTGTTAGTTTAATTAAAAATTAAGGTTGGTATTAATATTTAATAATTAAATTGCTACCTACATTGTTGCTAACTTCGGGTTTAACGTTTTTTTATTCAAACTTTTTTGAGATAAGTACGTTATGTTTGGACTCATTTTAAAGGTTTTTCTAATAAAGAATACATCATGAAAGAACACCATGAAGTTGTCCAATTGTCTATTATATGATAACTGACTTCAGGTTTAAAATGTCAACCTCAATTTTGACATATTTGTAATCTTCATTAAAAATCCTTTAAAATGGGTACAAACACGACATATCTGTCTTCAATATTAATGAAGTTATGGTCAACTTTCGGTTACAAATGTCAACGTTAATTTTGACATATTTGTAATCGTCGTAAAACATGATACGTTTAATTCCAATATTATTCGAGATATATACTTCCGGTTTGAAATGTCAATATCATTTTGACAAATTCTTAATTTTTATAAAATGTCTTAAAATTTATCACAAAAACAAAAATACAATAAAAAAAAAATTAAAAATTAAGGTTGGTATTAATATTTCAAAATTAGGTTGCTAATTTCAATGTTGCCAACTTTAATATTTTTTATTACAACTTTGTTGTTATTCGATATAAATGTATCATGTTTGAACTCATTTTAAAGGTTTTTTAATAAAGAATACCAAGAAGTTGTCTATTTGTCTATTATATGATAGCTAACTTCAGATTTAAAATGTCACATAACTGGTTCGTTAGAACTTTTTCGGGTTCCATTATTCGTAGAGGTTTGAAATTTTGGTAGCATGGGTTGTTCATTCGGAAGTTTCGATCTAAAATATTTCCAAGATGGTGGCCACTTCCGGTCTACCGGAAGTAGACCATAACTTCGTTATTTTAAATGGAATGCTATAGTTTTTATACACCGTTTAATTGTAAGTAGAAAAATAGGTTGACTTTGATAAAAGTTATTGGTACCTAGCGTTTTTCGTTTTCAAGTTATTTTGGATTACTCTTCAGATGCTGTCACATAGATTGTTATTAGTTGTATGGGACTATCTTATACAGAATGGTCAACAATTGAATTACTGTTTCTCCATATTCAATGGCGAGAAAGTCGAAAATATTAAATGGAACGCCCCATTTTTTTTTGGCCTGTCAGAAAGGGAATTTAATTCTCTACAAATTACCTAAAACTTTCTAGTTCTAGGTCTAGTGTTAGTTCTAGTTTTAATTGTTATTTAACCCTAAATTCTTGTACATTTTAATTGATCGAAAAAAAATTTTTTTTGATTTAATCCACTTACCTTGCTTATAATTTCATCCATTTACCCATTTTGAATTAAATCCAACCTTTAAATCCACTTAATTATGTGTTTTTCATTAAGAAAACTTAAATTCAACGTCAATTTTGACAAGCAACTGCAATATTTGGATCTTAATCACCATGGTAACCGAGTCAAGTTGGATAACCTTAAAATAATAAAATTTTATTTCGATTTTTTTATCAATTAATTTTAAAACCATTCGAATTCTTTACGATTATCTCGCATTCATAACAAATTCGTTAATTGTAATTAATTTAAATCGATTCTAATTAAGAGAAATAAATTAAAAATATCTCTTAAATCTTTTTGATTTAATCCAACTTACCTTGTTTATAATACCCTAGATAAACCAATTTTGAGTTAAATACAGTCTTTTAAACCAATTAAATAAGACTTTTTCCTTAAAAAAACTTAAATTCAATTTCAATTTTGACAAGCACCTACAATATTTGGATCTTAATCTCCATGGTAACCGAGTCAAGTTGGATAACCTATAAATAATTTAAATTTTAACCGTTAATATTTCGGTTTATATTTTAGTATTTTTTTATTTTATGTCTTTTTTTTTTAATTTTTATATTTTTGTGTATTCTTTTTTAAGTGAAATACACTGTATAAATAAAAACATAGAAATGCCAATTCTTTCAATGACGTCACAGCAAGGCCTTTGCGGGGGGGTACGTTCATAACAAGAGCGTTTATAAGCTTTATGAGTTGGATAACCTCATACAGTATGTTTACTCAACGGACCTAGGGTCCGATATTCACATCACATGAAACCTTCTTCCATATTTCATTAAATTTTAGATTTAATATCGCTGTAACATTTCCACCAACGACAGAATTATCTTGTATCTTACAAATAGTATAATAATCTTCTTTTTTCAATTTTGCACATAATTAAATTAGTTCAATAAATAAAAATTTTTTTTAGAGGTTGGTACCTCTAAATGTTGACGTTTATTCAAAAAAAGCATATCATCCCAAAATCACAACAAAAAAGAAAATGGGTTTTGGAAATATATCTTTAGGTGTTCGTGTAAAAGTAAGCGAATATGAACGTATTGAAATCGATAATTACAACTTAGAAGAAACCGTCGATTCGTTCAAAAATGAAGTAATCAAACAAATCGGGGTGGAAAAGGATTCAATAGGTAAGATAACCTCACTTTTTATAAACGTCATTATAAGAAATTGTAATTTTTTACAATTATTAAAGTGTTAATGTATGCTGGGGTCGATCTTGAGGACGATAAATCACTCTCATCGTGCGGGATAAAACCTGGCGTGATGATCCACGTTTTGTCTCGCCCTAAACCAAAACAACCTCAAGTGAACAAAGAGTTTTCCGATGCTGAATTAGAACAACTCGTCGTGGCTTTTAAAGCTTTTATGCTTTCTCCGTGGCTTAACCGCACCGCTTTACAACGTCTTTCTCGACCAGAGCTTTTAGATATGATTAAAGCGGCAACTCCCGGGTTATCGGAGGATCTCGTTGCTTGCGCTTTGATACAAGATCCTGATTTATTGGTACAATTATCTGATATAAGTATTGTTCGAACGATGGCTACTAAACATCCAACTGTAATTGATGCTGCGAAATATATTGCAGCTCACCTTCATAATGTAAACGCTTCAATCGGTTCTAGTAATCGACCAAGTACTAGTTCAGGTTATTCTTATTCTTTGGAAGCTTTAAGTGATGAAGATAATGATATGGAATCAAATAACGAAACTCCTCGAGAAACCGGACGAGATTCTGGCAATCCATTGACGAGAAATACATCTTACGGAGCTATAACCGCCGCTCAATTAGCAGACGCTATTTTAAATTCAACCCAAAATGTTAATTTTGGAACTACACCAAGTCGAAGTAATATTATAACGAATGAAATGTTTTCGAATGCTATTCAACAAGCTTTCGCTTCAAATCCTACCTCAAATACTTCTTTGGCTGGAAATTTAACCTCTACAGAACAAAATCCAACTGAAAATTCTGGGATTGAAAGTCAAAGTAATTTGTTGGTAAGATTACAACCTCAATTACAACAAATGAGGGAAATGGGATTGATGAATGAAGCTGTTAATATTAGAGCCTTGCAAGTTACTTCGGGTGATGTTCAAGCCGCCGTTGAATTAGTTTTTAATGGAATTGTCGATTAAGTTTTTAATTTTAATTAAATAAATGTAAAATCAATGTAAACATGATAATGAAAACGTCTTTATTCATTTCTATATATTATAAAGAATTAATAAGGTTCCATTAAAAAAAAATAAACCTATTTTCCTTTAATTAATGTAAAACATCAGTAAAACATTTTCAACTAAAAAAAAAGAACTAAAAAGGCACATCTTCATTTTTGTGATGTCACACCATATATTTTCTACATCTTTCATTAAAAACTTGCATGGATCTTTGTTTAACCAATTCTTCTACGCTTAATTCAACTTGTAACATCCTCAACTACAAAAAAAATCATTAATTTAATTAACCTCACTTTTTTTTAAATTTTGTTTTTACTTTAGTTTGTTCAGCTCTCAACTCTTTCGATAGTTGTATATCACCTAAATTCTTTTCACGTTCCTCTTTAAGTCTTTTAACTCTATCGGCAGCTATATTTATACAGTTTTTAATGGCACTTTCCCTTTTTATGTTACCTTCCTGAATTTTTCCTTTAAGCTCCGTACACGCGTGTTTAGCATCTGGATGGAAGGAATCGGTTGGAATAACGGCGTTTAAAGTGTTTATGATCAGATCGTCTGTTCTTCTCATTGATTTTAAGGCATCCTAAAAATAACCTTAATTAGGGTAAGTTTTTTTGACAGCATGCAAGTTGAGGTTATGTTGGTTGTAAATAAGTAAATTCCCGGTTTATTAAGTTTACGGTTGTTCGTACTTGAAAGTCGCTGAAATCACCGCACTCCATTATCGATTCTGGCATTATTTCGGGGAACTTATTTGAGCTTTAACCCTCCGGAAAGTTCAAGCATTCCGCAATTATCTGGGAAATTATTTTTTTTTAATGTTGGTATGATAGAGATTATGAATTCCTTCGATTTTTTTTATTAATTTTTATTTTGTGATTTATTATAAAATTATTTACTTATCACTTCATTTTTGCTTGGTATTATGAAAAAGCGAAATTAATTAATTAATTATAAATAATTAATTTTGTTTAGGTTGGTAACCGTGTCGATTGTGTAATTTACTAAGCATAAAATTGAGAATTAATTTTAATAAAATTAATTTAATTTGTTATTAATATGAACTTGTTTATGGTTAATAAATTTTTAATAAAGTTATGATTATTGTTATAAAGAAATAATTAATATATTTAAAAGCCGATAAAAACGATTTCTTCAAAAAAAACGTAACTAACTTCATTTAATACGAGTAGACATTGACATTGATGCTGTCTTGACAAATATCCTCTTCAGAGAATTAATTTTTTCGTAATAACGTATCGTTTTTAATTAGTTAAGGGTAAGTTAAAAGGGATCTTTTTGCTGTGTATCATAATTACCGCTTAACTCGTTGACAGAAATATGATTTAGACGTTTGTTATTTAATATGTCAAATCAGCTCTTGACGATGTCACGATTTTAGCCTTTATCCCCTAGTATTAATGCTTTTTTAATATGTTATGAATTGATTATTGAGCCCTTGCCGTGCGTTTATTGCATTACCGTTAACACATTTGTATATGGGTAATTTAATTTTATTTTAGATGTCTGGTTCTGCCCATAAACATCGATATAAAAGTTCAGCAATCGACTCGGTAGAACTTAGACGGAGGCGTGAAGAAGAGGGGCTCCAGTTGAGAAAGCAAAAAAGGGAACAACAACTGTATAAGAAACGTAATGTTAATCCCGCTTTGTTACCAGACGATAGTGATCCGTTACAGGTAGGGTGCAAAAATGAATTTAGAGGTTAAAATGTTATTTTGTTTAATTGTAGTTAGAGGGTGATGTTTCCATACAATCTTCCACCTCAATTACCCCGCAAATGGTGCAGGCTTTATATAGTTCCAACATTGAAGAAATTTTAAGTGCTACCCAAAAATTTCGAAAACTTTTGAGTCGAGAACCAAATCCTCCTATTGATGAGGTCATCGATACGGGGATAGTACCTAAATTTGTAGAGTTTTTGAATAATCCATCAAATTGTACACTTCAGGTAAGTAAAAAAAAATTCCAGGTAATTTAAGTAATCTTTTCCAAGCAACTTAATATGAGTAATGTTAAATTGAAACATATGATTCATAACTCAATACAATTTTGAATTTGATACCCCTATTAAATAAAAACCTTGAATAAAATAATAAAAATAAAACAACAATAAATCTCATGTTTATTTATTTATTTTTGATGTAGTTTGAGGCAGCATGGGCATTAACAAATATAGCTTCAGGAACATCGAAACAAACCCGAATGGTGATCCAAGCGGGCGCTGTGCCCATTTTCATATCTCTCCTTGGAAGCAAATACGAAGATGTTCAAGAACAAGCGGTTTGGGCATTGGGAAATATCGCGGGGGATTCGCCCGAATGTCGTGATCATGTTCTTGCTTCGGGAATATTAGTGCCTCTATTACAGTAAGTTAAAATCAAATTATTAAATTTTAATTAAATTAATTTTAGTTATTAAAATTAAAAGAAAAACGATTAATTATATTTCTTTTATTCAATTTCGTTGCTAAAAGTACAAAATATTTTTTAAGTGAGAATAAAACTTCCATAAAATGACTTAAAAGATTACAAAATTATAACAAAATAGATGAAAAGTTAATATTTACTGTCAATTATGAGAGGCACATGTTTCTTAAAATTATAAAAAAATACATAATATTTGTGTTTTTTAAAAATAAACAATGTTTATACTCCAATATATTTTATAAACCGGTTTCGGCCTAGACCATCATCAGGAGTCCTTAAGGTTTTAAAAACGTTCACAACATACAAATAAATTAAAGATAAAAATATAAAATGTTACTTTACTTCCTTGTATAAGGTTGAGGTTAGGAAACATTCAAATTTACATTCAAATTTTGATATATTGTTATTGTATTGAAACAGATGCAAATCGAAAGTTTTAACAATTATTGTAGAAGTGAAACATATAATCTGTATTTTATTTAAATCAATTGTCAAAGTGTCGTCAAGTTGGTATTGAAAGTACAAGCGCATGTCGTGACTTTTACTTTAATTGTGTGCCACCACTGTCTATCAAATTTGTTAAGATTGATTAAAAAACAATTTTCATATAATTTTTTTGCTGCTAAATCTACCATAAAAATGTTAAGAAAGGGTGGAACGGGATGTCAACTGTCTAAACGCGAAAAAAACTCTATAATTAGGTATTGTGAAGAAGTACAGACGGAGACACCAAATACGAATTTAAAATATATATGTGATAAAGCTTCACGTATTTTTGATGTATGTGTATTGCACTTGAGTTTTAAAATTANAAGGAGACTTGGCAAAAAGCTCTTGGTCATTACACTCCGGAGATGTGGGCAAATAGTGTTCGCCACTGTGAAGAACTAATTAAAAAAGATTGGACAACATTAATGGGAAATTCATTAATAACTGATTTACCTCCTGTCATCATCCAACTAGCGGAAGACTCAGATTCTTCCAGTAATTCTGATTTTTAAACAATATTCAAATTTTAATTATAGCACTTAATTATGTTATCTTAATATATTGCTCAAGAGTTTTAATTTGAAAACGTAGACATTAGCCAAGTGACGAGAGATTAGTGGCTTCGTCTTTAAAGTGACAACTTCGTTTAGAATATACACAACCTTATTTATTATTTAGTGGAAAATATTATAAAGCGTGTCATAGAACATGGTATCTAGGGTGGTACAGACCGTTTTTTTATAAAAATTTGGCAATGACAATTGATTTAAATAAAAAACAGATTATATAATGTCGGGTGAAACATGATCATGTTCCACAGGTGGGTGTGTCGTTTTGTCAAGAGCGCATGTGCAAATGATTGGGATATGGGAACCAGTTCGATTGTATTCCTCGTGTGTATAAAAGGTAGAGGATTTAGGGGATAAGAAATTTAGTTAAATGTATTTTCTGGTGGTTTGGATTTAATGTTGTATGGGTTTGATAGGAACCTGTATAAGGAGATTTTTTGTAGTTGTACCTGGTCGTTTAAATTTTCGGTGTTTGGATATGTGTTTCGGATTTTGTCGATTTCATATGCTTCAAGTAAAGTGAGTTTGAAGCCTTTGTTATGTTGATGGAGGAGTTTTATATTTTTAGTTTCATCAAAGATGTGGTCGTTTGTAGGAAAGTGTCTTCCGAAATATGAGTTTCCGTTTTGTTTATGTTCTTTAACTCGTTGTCTGATGTTTCTTCCTATTTCGCCAATGTATGTTGCCCTGCAGGTATCGCATTGGAGTGAGTAAACGCCGCTTTTAGATAGTGGATCAATCTGGTCTTTTGCGTTATTTAGGATTTGTAATAGAGTTGAGTTTGTTTTGAAGGTGATTTTTATGTTGATCTTTTGAAAATTCTTTGTATGTCTATTGCAAGGTTGCCAGGGTAATTTACGGATCTATATAGGATGGATTCTTTATTTTCAGGTGATAAAATTTTACTTATGTCAGAGTTTATTTGTTTTTTTGTATGTTTAGTGAGTAGATTATCTATGACTTGAGGAAAATTATTGTTATGTGCGATGTTCTTAATTATTTGTATTTCTTGATTTTTGTAGTTTCTGTGGTGAAAAAAGTCTGCAGGTATTACTGTATCTGAGTAGAGTATTTGAGTAGGTTTCCTGTATATGTTGTATTCAATCTTATTTCTAACTTTTTTCAGAGTAAGATCTAAGAAATTGATGGATTCATTCTTTTCAATTTCCATAGTGAAGTTAATTTTGTTGTGGAAAGTATTGACGTGTTGTAGAAATTCACTGATGTTGTTGGGGGAAGAGTTATCCCAGAGAATCAAGATGTCATCAACATATCTTTTCCATAGTAAAATGTATTTATTGAGTGGATCAGTAGGTTCAAGTAGTGACGTTTCTAGTTGGTCTATGAAGAAATCTGTTAGTAGCCCGCTAAGTGGTGAACCCATTGGGAGTCCGTCGAATGTTTAAATACAATTTAAACATTTCTCCATTGAATTGACAAAAATTATGTTCGGTGCAGTGTTTTATTAATTTAAATAATTGTTCGGTATTGGTTGTATTTAGACGGGTTTTCAGGTAATTGTGAACTATGGTTAAGGTTTCGTGGATAGGTATGTTGGTATAGAGATAGAGGTTAGTGATATCAAATGAGATCATTCGAAAGTTATGAGGGAGGTTGATATTAGAAATTGTTTCTACTAGCTCTTTTCTATTTTTGATTGTGTTAGCAGTTTTATATTGTAACTGTCTGATAATAAAGAGATTGATGAATCTGGCGATTTTCTGAGTACTTGAGTTGACAGATGCGATTATTGGGCGAATAGGATGGTTTTGTTTATGTAATTTTATGATTGATTATAGCATAGGAATTCTATGGTTCATCGGTATAAGGTTAAATTCTTTAAGGTCTTGTTCTTTTATAAAAGAGCTACATTCTTTAATTAACTTTTTAGTTTTGGTATGGAATGTGTTGAGAGGATTTCGTGTGATTTTCACAAAATTATTATTCAAAAAATCGTAAGGTTTTTGAAGGTAATCTTTTTTATGCATAAAAACAATATACCTGCATTTTTATCGGCTTTAGTTACCTTTGAATTGTTGTTTTTAATTTTATTTTTTATTGTTTTAAGAAGAGTTTTTTCTTTTTTCTGTTTTTCGTTGTGTTTCGCTATGGGGTTCTTCCTTTTGGTTCTTTTTTCAGCTTTCCTCAAAAATTCAATAAAGTCACTTCTTATTTCAGTTTCGTTGGGGTGTCCTTTGGCGATGTCCTCTAATTCGAAGGCTAGTATATTTAATTGTGTGTTTTGGGGGGTGGCGTATTTATGTCCTTTTTGGAGTATGTTTTCTTCTTCTTGAGTGAATATGACGTCGGTGAAGTTGGTGATACGGTCGTGAAAGGTGTGTGTGGTGACAGGTTCGTTATTGTTTTCTAATTGTTGTTTCTCCCTTCTCAAGTTCTCAATTTTCTTCTGTTTATTAAAGTCTGTTTTCTTTTATAGTATTGGTTTTGTGTTCTTTATTTCCGATTTATTCCGGATTCTGCGATTATTTCATTAAGTTCTATATAATGTAATCTCTCTGAGAGTATGTTATAGATTCTGAAGAGATTTTTATTGTGAAAATATTGCTAGTTAATTTAAATTTATATTGCTTTTAATTTATCTTTAACTTAATTGTATTTTTGAACGTTTAAAACCTTATAGACTCCTGACGATGGTCTAGGTCGAAACCGGTAGAGTTAATAAATTTATAAAATATATTGGAGTATAAACATTGTTTATTTTTTAAAAACACATATAATATACCAATATGGATGAAAACCCATTTACCTGTTACATAATATTTGATACAGCAATTATAAGAATAACTTTTTAAAAAACTTACAAAGACTCTGTGAAAAAATTTAAGATAAAACCTATGATTATTTAATTCAGTAACATCATTGAGCAAATGGGATTTTTTTTGGGTCAAGCTCTTTGGATTTTTTAACATTTTTTAGCAAAGATATACAACTAAAGTCTATGTTGTGTTTTGTGTCATTTATGTATTGCTGAGGATTCTTTGATTAAGTGTTCTCTAAAGCGAGTGTGAACCTGTGTAAACCTTATCACAATCTCCACATTTGATTTTGTAAACACCACTCTGGTCCCTGATATTTCCCAAGTTTCCTGTTAGAATTCATCTAAAGCAAGAGTAAAATCATATTTCTTGAGATTATGATAAAGTTTCTGTTGAATGTGAGGAATGAAAGGTAGTGTTACATATTTAAAGTTAGAGCCAAAGTGTGGAAAAACAATATTATTAATATATTTCTTATGGGCCATGTTGAAAATGTTTTGCATAAAATTTATATCGGAATTATTATTGAAACCTATTTCTAAAATTTGATAGAATCCATATTGCAGGTTTAAAAAATAAGGTATTATTAATAAGAAAACGCTTTAAAAAACTTCTTTCCTGCTTTATTTATAAATTTCGTCGTTACCGGTTTCGACCTTTACATTAGGTCATCACCAGCCGAATCTATATAATTGGAAATATTTATCTTTCTTTTCAAAAATGTTAGAAACAACAAAGCAAGCAATAATGGTGAACAAATTAAGAATATCACATAAATCAAATTTACAAATGAAGAAAGTAAACTACTTAATAGAGGTTACAAATTCTCACAAACTCCAAAGCCTAATCTATATACATAGAGTTAGATACAACCATAGAGTTTGATAATATTATTAAAGGCAACCGTGGATATTCAAACATAAAAAATGACCTTATTCCTTTCATTAAGAAAACAGAAAAGAAATTAGAAATGGATAATTCTTTTCCAGCTCAACAATGGAAAAACCTTAAATCCATAAAAAATAAATTAAAAGATAATACAGTAAAACCTCGATATAACGGACTAATACCATGGAGGGGGTGTTGGTTATAGCCGAAACTGCCGAAAGTCCGTTATATAGAAAAATAGTCCCGAATACGTTTTTTTCTGTTGTAAGGCAAATATGAAACATTAATACTTACCACAATTGAGGGTTATTCTAATTGTAAGATCAGGAAGAGGTATATAATGTCAATTATTTACTATCAAATATAAAATGAATGAAGATATGTCTTATATATTTTTTTATTTATATACCTATACATATTAGTTAAACGAAACACTTTACTTCTGATATGTGTATACTCTGGTTATAAAATGATATTATGTACTAGATGTCGAAGCGCTTGTGGTTGGCAATGCTTTTTTAAAAAAACAATCAAGTTTTGTTTGCACTTTTGAAGTTTGTTATTCTTTTACGATTAACTCCCTAAAATTACGGAAATGTTTGGGAATCTTTCATTTTCCTCGCTTTCAAAGTCGTTATCCACCATCATCACTTCATCAGCTATTTCATGTTCCGTCATAATATGATAACCAAGATCACCTTCATCCATTTCTAGCCATTGTAATATATCTTCTTCGGCTACTTCTCCTCCAACGCTACTTTGTATGGCAGTAGAAAAATCAGGAACCTCTATTACAGAACATACATTTTACCATCTCCATAGCGCAAAGTTTTACAAGATTTTCCGCAATTGAGTAGGCTTCACCGCGTTGAGCTATTTGATAACTGACCAAGTAAGAAGCCTCAGTTGCTTTTTTATTAATTGTTTTTGTGGTTTGAACCATAAATGTTTTTTACTTTACAAGTTCATCACAATTTCGCTTGAAAAATTCAAAATTTTTTTCTTTAAGGTCCCCATGAACAGATTCTAAATGTCGCCGCATCTCAGCTGGAGCCAGCTCTATGGCTCCAGCTGGGAAGGACTTTCAGATGGAAGAAATTTCCTGCATATAATGCACTGCGGATTAGCATTACTTTTTCAGTATACCTCCTATATTTTTTAGTACAGGTGTCCAAATTTCGATGGGTTTCAGGGTATCTCAGTTATTATGAAAGATAGAAAGTTGCGGCTTTCGCGAACCTGAGCTACTTTTTTGTGAAACTTACAATGGCACAAACCAAATTTTCATAGCCCTCTTCGTTTTTGATATACAGGGAGTGTTTGAAATTTAAGATTTTGAGACACCTCCTGTATCTCGGCTATCCGGAAACTTAGTAAAAAAGTAAAAATGGGTTCTAATAGATTTTTTCACGTGGAATCCAATGGTGTACGTAGAATTTTTCTAGTCATCACGGTTTTTGAGTTATAAACACAAATCAAATACTGAATAGTCAACTTGTAAAATACTTCGCTCTTTATAACTCAAAAACCGTGATGACTAGAAAAATTCTACGTGCACCATTGGATTCTACGTGAAAAAATCTATTAGAACCCGTTTTTACGTTTCCGGATAGCCGAGATACAGGAGGTGTCTGAAAATCGTAAATTTTGAAACACTTCCT